AATAAATAGAACATCACAACCCCCATCATCAACAAGGCCTAAACTAGCAGTACAAGATGGCGGATAATAGCAGCTGTGACTATACTGGGCTATAGTTACGGCCGGGAGTATAGTGCACCTGGCTATACTAATTATATATACCAGGTAACAGGGGGCCAGGGATATATGAGGCTATATTTAGTCAGACCGATAGTTTATTAGTGCTTATTATGACGTATGTATGTATGTATGTATGTATGTATGTATGTATGTATGTATGTATGTATGTATGTATGTATGTATGTATGTTATGGTATGTATGTTTGTATCTATGTATGTATGTATGTATGTTATGTATGTGCATGTAAAAGTGTATGTAGGTATGTATGGCGGTATGCAGCTGGGGGTGTGGACTGGGGAGGTACTGGGGGACTGGGGGAGGTATTGGGGGACTGGGGGGGTGATTGGGGGTAAACTGTTGTACAGGAACAGAGAATATCGTAGGATGTGGGGGAAGGAGGAGGAGGAGGAGGGGCAAGAGAGGAGAAGAAAGAGGAGGAGGAGAAGAGGGGAGAGAGAAGAAAGAGTGGAGGAGGACGAAAGAATAATGATAATAATAATAATAATAATAAGAAGAACAAACAACAACAACAGCCCCCCATCTATGTTTGATCAGACACTCTTGCCAGAATCTGTATAGGAATATTATTTAAATTCTCAACATTCTCTCTCGTCCAATTTGCATTTAAATATAACTTTTCAATATTTTTCACCTAAGTCGATAGTTTTTATTTTTATTATTTTTTTTTTATTGTAAATTTGTGATGGAAAATTTTTTGGTTACTCGTTTTCTCTTATGGTAAAAAAATGAAATAAAATCCTTGGCCCGTTTTCTGATTTTTTTTTTGTGTTTTTGTAGGTCAGTTTTTTTTATTAAGTGGAGTAAAAATTATAAAAACAAATGAAATAAGTCAACAAAAACACACACTGGCAACACTTTACAATAAATCAACACAAAATGAAACAAGAAAAAGGCAAATTAAACAAGAAAAACAACAAAGCAAAACAGCGAATAAAACAATAAAAAAACAGGAAAACAAAGTAACTAAACAAAAACAGTAGGAGTAAATCAAGCAGTGGCAACCCTCCTCACAAACACCAAACATTTTATACAACAGACCACAACCTGCCTCTTCCTCCTCCACTACAACACCTCCAAGAAAGGATCAATAACACAAACAACAAAACAACTCCAAATTCTCCCTGGAAATGTTTGAAGATACTAAAAAAAAAACCCCGTAAGATTCATGTCCTTTTAGCCCCGTGGTGTATCGCCCGCCGACCAATAAGCGCGTCCCGTAACTCATAGCTCAGCCAATCACATGTTTACACGTGGATGGTTTTGACTGGTCGTTCTGGAATATGAGAGAGAGAAAGAGAGAGAGCGAAATAGAGAGAGATAGAGAGAGAGAGAGAGTTATTTAGCGTGCTATTGTTACATCACATGGATACATGCATCAACACAGTCATTATATTCATTCAAACAAATAAACAAACACACACACACACACACACACATAAACAACAACAATTAATGGGCAACATTAACCCTGCCTGAGGCTGACTCTTGTAACAGCTAACACGAGGCAACTGTTTATGTTAATGACCCGTGTGTGTGTGTGTGTGTGTGTGTGTGTGTGTGTGTGTGTGTGTATTTAACTAGATTAGGTTAGGTTAGGGTAGGATACATTAGCTAAGGTTATGGAAGAGGTCAGGTTAGGTTAGGTTATGGAAGAGGTCATGGGAAAGTCTCTGGGGTCGTGGGAAAAACACAGCGAGTGTGGGAAACTCCCGGCCATCAACGACCATTCCACACCAACACATTAAAGTTGTATTTTTCCCCCATATCCCAGTTTACCTAAATGGCTAAAATAATGGCCACTTTATGTCATTATCTTCCCCCGGGGTAAAATGGCCTCACGTCACCCCCGCCCCCAGCCACTTGTTTTGGCCTTGTAAATTAAAACACAAAGGAATCAACATTTACAGGGATGAAATTTTTGTGGTGTTTGTGAGCCGAGCTTTATAATGATGGGTATACAAGTTGTGTTGATGAGAGTGAGAGTGTGTGTATGTGTCCCCGGAAACAAATTTATCTCTTTTTTATCTCACCCACGCACTCATTCGCTCTCTCTTTCATCCTCCCACACACTCTTCCTCACTCTCACTCTGCCTCCGTCTCTCACTACCCCACACACAGTTTATGACCCTGACTTAACAGCTTCCCCATCCCAGTTTAAACCATTCAACTCCCCCTCCCACTCTCACCCGGGAGAGGTCAAAGGTCACCCACAGCGGAGGTCAGTGCAAGAGAAGGAGCAGGAAGACATACATACATACATACAGTCATTCAATTTAGTCAATTTGTTTATCCACGGTTATAACACAGGTCAACACAGGTCAACACAGGTCAACAGGTCACAGCTCTGTTTTCTTATCTAAAATTAAATCTTCGCCGAACGTGTCTATTGTACTTCCTGCCACCGAGGTCTACCACCCTGCCACCGAGGTCTACCACCCTGGTACCGAGGTCTGCCACCTGGTACCGAGGTTCACCTACCAGGTCTGCCACCCTGGTCTGGGTCCCACCTGTACCGGGTCTGCCACCCTGGTACCGGGTCTCCACCCTGGTACCGAGGTCTACCACCTGCAAGGTCTGCCACTTTGCCTAAATTTAAAATCTAACTGGAAGGGCGGAGTGATGAACGGACTGACACATGACATACAGACAGACAACAACTTCTACAACTCCCTCCAGCTTCTGGTGTAGAAAACACGAGATTATGAGAGAGAGAGAGAGAGAGACCAAAAGCAAAGGTTCATCAGTACACACCTGTAGGCAGATTAATTAACTACTATAACTTCTCTCCTCACCTGTCTCTCTCATCATTTCGTCTTATTCCTCTTCTTTACTACTCTCTCTCTCTCTCTCTCTCTCTCTCTCTCTCTCTCTCTCTCTCTCTCTCTCCTCTCTCTCTCTCTCACACACACACCTCTTTTTTTCAGGAATCTTCTTTGTGCTCATTAATATTCACTCACCTGTCCATAAATGTTCACTCAGCTGTTTATTTTGAAGGAATTCCACCTTTGAGTGTCCTTTACCTGTCTAGTGCATACAGGCGAAAAAATATGAAAAAAATATAAATAAATAAAAAATATTAATTATTTTGGGTCGTAATGCCATGACAGGTATGATGACCACAAGGTTACCTGAGAGTATGATGACTATGTTAATGGGGTAGTTTGGAAGGTGTGGATCTTGACTACTACTGTCACACACACACACACACCTAACAATTATACTATACAAGTTAATCACAGTAAACGCATCAACAAACTACTAAACAACAACAAAACAAAACAAACAACAAGAACTGACAACAAACACAACACCCAAACATAGAAACACATATTACAGGAAACTTACACATGAATAAAGAATAATGCCATTTAGTGCTGGGAAAGGGGGGGGGTAAGAGAGGGAGGGTGAGAGAAGGGGAGAGGCAGGAGGAGGGGAAGTATTTTCTTTCCTCATCCATCTCCCTCACCGCTTAACCTACTACCTACTCTCTCACCTCCCTCCCTCCCTCTCTCCCTCCCTCCCTCCCTCCTCCCTCCTTCTAACCTCCTACCTACTCTCTCTTCCTTACTCCCTCCCTCCTCTTTCACTTAACCTCCCCCCTCTCCCCTCCTCCTGCCCTCCATCCATCATCCTCCACACTCACCCTCGACGCTCAAGGAGTAACTTGTCAGACTTGAACTAATTGCTCCTTGAAATGAGAGAAGAAACTGAATATTCTAAATCATTCAAGTGAACAACAATGTTTTCCCAGTTTTCTTTATTTTGGCTCCTATCAATTATTACTTTTATTTTTAACACAATTGAAAGACAAAATAATAATATATTAGGATATATATATATATATATATATATATATATATATATATATATATATATATATATATATATATATATATATATATATATATATATATATATATATATATATATATATATAATATAAACACTAAAACAAGTACAATATATTCCACTTTAAAATATATGAAATAAATTATACACATCCAGATCGGCTAAAAAAAAAAGTCGCATTTTTTTATTTCAGATTTCATGAAATAAATTTCTTCGTTTGGGCAAAAACGGTGAAACATATCCAGATATATTTCATTACAGCTCGTGAAATAAATCTTATATTTTACTGGAATTTGAAGAAAAAATATTAAAAATTTATTCAGCTCGGCAGTTCATAAAGAGAGAGATTACCACCTATAAACATCATTAATTAAACTCTACAGGACCCACAACCCACATTTAATTACCTGCCACATATACGACCTCCACACACAACCAAGTATCACCACCACACCACACTACACCACACACACCACTACACACACACATCACCAGTACACCACACACACCACCACTACACCACACACCACCACACCACACACCACACCACACACACCACCACTACACCACCACACACACCACCACTACACCACACACCACCACACACACACACAACACCACACACACACACACCACACACATCACCTCTACAACAGGATAGTTATTTGATGGGCAGGATAGCACGGTCACCTGCCCACACACGCGAGTATCCCCGGGTACCGTGTACTGTAGGTGCTTCAAGCCGCTGAGGACCCGCCTGACGGAGGGCCAAGTGTCTGTCTGTCAGCTTATGATGGTCCTGACCTAGATGACAAGCTGACCACAAATTTCTGACTAACCTAACTTGTTACCACCCTAGGCTCACGACCTCTCACAGTTACCACCCTAGGCTCAGACCTCTCACAGTTACCACCCTAGGCTCACGACCTCTCACAGTTACCACCCTAGGCTCACGACCTCACAGTTACCACCCTAGGCTCACGACCTCTCACAGTTACCACCCTAGGCTCACGACCTCTCACAGTTACCACCTCTAGGCTCACGACCTCTCACAGTTACCACCCTAGGCTCACGACCTCACCACCGTTACCACCCCTAGGCTCACGACCTCTCACCACTGTTACCACCCTAGGCTCACGACCTCTCACCACCGTTACCACCCTAGGCTCACGACCTCTCACCACCGTTACAACTCAGACTCACGACTCCACTCACACCGTTACCACCCTGAACAGGCAGGTCGACGCCTTGAGGTAAATCTGTTCTTGGTCCTGTCCTTCTCCTCCTCTTTCCCCTCCTCCTACCCTTCCTCCCTTCACCTTCCTCTCCTCCCTCCTTTCTCCCTCCCCTCTCTTTCTCCCTCCTCCTACCCTTTTTCTCCTCCCTCACCTTCTACCCTCCCTCCTCCCACCCTTCTCCCTCCCTCACCCTCCTCCCTCCCAGGTGGTGGTGGAGTACAGGTATAGCGAGGTAGACTCATAATGGCGCCTCACCTTGTTGTACTGTGTTAAGAGGCACGACACAGGTGAGTGGTGCATTAGTGATGGTGGTAGAGGGAGGGACGCCCAGTCTCCCTCCCTCCCTCCACTAAACAAGAATTTAAAAGGAAACCGGATTTAATAAACTTAGGGGGAGGAATGAAGGTAGGGGAGAAGTGAGGGCAGGGAAGGTGGAGAGGTAGGGGGAGGTGGCGAACAAGGGGGATGTGATGAGCTAGGGGAGGAAGAGAGGCAAGTGGGAGGGAGAGAGGGAGGGATGGTGATACGCATGTGTGGGGAAGAGAGGGAGGGGAGAGAGAGGAGGGAGGAGGGGGAGGGAGGAGGAGGAGAGAGGAGGAGGGAGGGAGGGATGGAGATCCAGCCTTCATTATACATGCATGAATGTTAATAAATATCAGGTGTTCAATCCAGGTAATAATGTACAAAAACAGACACGTGTCGGCCACCTGGTGTTGCCTCTGACACAGGTGCACATCTCCCCCTGCTTAGTATAGTGAAACCTCTATTTAACGGCCTATGTGGAGAGAAGTCCCTTATATGGAGGGTAGTGTTGAGGAAGGAGGAAGTGGGAAGGTGATGTGAAGGGGAGGCAGCAGCTGGCATGGGTTCCTCACCAACGAAGCGTTCTAATTGGATGACAGCCTGAGGACCACCCCTCCTCCTCACTCGGTCGCTATTCACATTATCTCTCTCTTATCCACACGTCTATCTTTTTCTTTACTTTATTATCTTATCTATCTATACACTTATCTTTTGTATCTATATCTTAGTAGCTTTATCTATCTTTCTTTATCTAAACTGCACACACACACACACACACACACACACACACACACACACACACACACACACACACACACACAACACACACAGGTATCAAACACTTAATGACACACATCATCATCAACACTATATATGACGTCATTCAGTATTTAGAGGTCAAATAAAAACGTTTCCAATCACCTGAGTTGTAAGTTAAGGGTCAGTACAATCACTCGAATCACTGGAGGTTAATTTAATGGGATTGTATCAAAAAGCAGAAGCTGAACCTTGTATATAGACGATAAGAACTCCGGGGACATTTGTAGAAGAACGGAAGTGAGGAAAGGTGAGTGACCCATGACCTCCCGCCCAGGTGAGTGACCCATGACCTCCTGCCCAGGTGGTGACCCATGACCTCCCTGCCCAGGTGAGTGAGACCCACGACCTCCCGCCCAGGTGAGTGACCCACGATCTCCCGCCCAGGTGAGTGACCCACGACAGGTGAGTGACCCATGACAAGTGAGTGACCCATGACCTCCCGCCCAGGTGAATTACCCATGAGAACAAAATAAAAATCCCAAACCTCCATTTAACGAATCCAGTAAAAAAATAACTCTATACACCCGAATAAAGGACTTAAATTATAAACCCTCCAATTAACGGAACCATCTAAACCCTCCCACTTAGCGGACTCAGTTGAAAGCCCTATAACCTCCCTTTAACGGACAAATTCAACACTAAATCCTACCTTTCTCCCTCATCACCCATTCCCTCCCTCCCACTATCTATCTTCCTTCCTTCCTCCCATCCCTCCTCTCCTCCCTCCCTCCTTCCCTGCCCTCCTTTCCCCTGCCTCCCTCCTTCCCGCCCCCCTCCTTCCTGCCTCCCTCTCCCTGCCCTCCTGCCCTCCTTCCCTTCGCTCCCCCTCCGTCCCTGCCTCCCTCCTTCCCTGCCCCTCCTTCCCTGCCCCCTCTCCTTCCCTGCCCCCCTCTGCCCTCCTTCCCTCCCACTAACAAAACATTCGCGCAATTTCTCTGCAATTTCAGCTTAAGTTTGGCTTTGAATTGCAATCACCCCACTGAGAGAGAGAGAGAGAGAGAGAGAGAGATACCCTGGCAGCTCCTCGGCAGTAATGTGTTGTAATGGATTTGTCAATCAGACTGATGTATTACACTCCGGGGCCCCACACCCTGCAATATTGTGGCTACAGGTCTCGCAACGTTGCATCCTGTACCTGCAACAATAACCTGGTATAGGAGATAAAATAAGCAACACTCTGCAGTAACCCCTTCAGTCATCCGTCTTAATAAAATTACTCTTGCAATGATCCTTTTTGGTGATGCAACAACTGGGATAACTGCAACATGTAGCATTTTTGTACTATATGTCCTAACAATAAAGACTCTTCCATGTGCAACAATACACTAGAAGCAGTTTTGAAGAATGCAGTTTTAAAGCTCCTACAATTCCGTGCAATATTGCAGCGTCTATTCTTGCATTAAAAGTTTTTAAAGGGGTATTAACATCCCCCCATAGGTGAAACAAACAAAACACTCCTGGTGGAACAATGTCTTCAGTCTGCAACAAAAGCCACAGAGCAAAGGTGAAGAGGACCTGCAAAAGTCACCTGCAATATATGAGTTACTTCTCTTGCAACACTGCACCAACAATAGGGCCAGAGATGAAGCGCACCAGAAAATTTCACTTGCAACATCTTGCAATATTGTGCCACTTACTCCTGCCTCACCCGTGTCTCGTGAGGCTGCAACTACACTCGAGGTCAGAGGTGCTCAGCAACCTGAGTGTGTTGTGAGGTTGCAACATTCTCCGGTGACATGTGTTGAGTGTGCATTTTTTTTTACGAGGACTAGCCCACCCGGACACAGGTCACTGACCCACAACGGGGCCTGGGGGCGACAAAATAAGAGTAAGAAGAAATACAAAATAAAAAACAAAAAGATTATATTAATCTACACCACAAAGATGGTGGAAAAGCAGCTTTTTAAAGTGAGACAGATTGTATGAGTATGGAGACACAGAAGAAGGCAGAGCATTCCACAGTTTGGCTGTGTGAGGAAAGAAGGTGTGGGCACCGCGGGCAAGACGAGTAGCATGAGCCCATTGGCCTGCTGGCGGTACACAGGATGCCAAATCCACCGAACATTGCCCGTTAATGTACTGTACCTGTAAAATAGAGAGAGTGAAGCAACATTGCGGCGAAGAAAAAGGGGAGAGAGATTAATTATCAACTAAAGGAGAGTTATGTTAATTTAAGTTTGATTTTAATTCTCAATTGTAACGGGTGAAATATTCTTCACATTTTTACACTAACTGTCATACATAAAAAAGATTAGTATTTTAAATTAATTTGTTGTTGTTGGGAATTGCTGATAATAACTGTGTGTGTGTGTGTGTGTGTGTGTGTGTGTGTGTGTGTGTGTGTGTGTGTGTGTGTGTGTGTGTGATCTCAACCTACCACAACACACTATGTCATCTTCCCAACAGCTAATACACTCACGAGAGAGTTCTGGAACAATCTTGACCAGAGTAATGACCAAATTACTCTTAACTACTCGATAAACAAGTCATTAACACGCTAAACTACTTGGTAAACAACCTTAAGAATATATATATTTTTTATTCTTTCTGATGTCGAGTCCATTTTGTGTTTATTATTCACACACACACACACACACACACACACACACACAAATGGGTCGTCTCTCCCAAAAGGTTAAGTTACACACAAGGAACTTTTATGGACAGTGTTTAAAAAGTTAGGTGATCACATTTATCATCTCTTTGACGACCTCTAGTAGTCAGCCACCCTCCACTACACCCGGCCTCCACTACACCCGGCCTCACTAACCTGCCTCCACTACACCCGCCTCCACTGGCCTCCACCACACCCGGCCTCCACTACACCCGGTCTCCACTACACCCGACTCCACACCCGCCTCCACTACACCTGGTCTCCACCACACCCGCCTCCACTACACCCGGCCTCCACTACACCCGGCCTCCACTCACCCGGCCTCCACTACACCCGGCCTCCACTACACCCGGCCTCCACTACACCCGGCCTCCACCACACCCGGTCTCCACTCACACCCGCCTCCACTACCCGGCCTCCACTACACCCGGCTCCACTACACCCGCCTCCACTACACCCGGCCTCCACTACACCGGCCTCCACTACACCCGGCCTCCACACACCCGGCCTCCACTACACCCGGTCTCCACTACACATCATGTACCCAGATCGTGGTAACACATGAGACAGGGAGCGCAGTTTGAACGTGATCGTGAAATACCAAAGTCTAGGCAAAGTGGGAGGGAAGGAAGAGGAGGAAGGGGAGAGGGAGGAGGGAAGAGGGGGAAGAGGAGGAAGAGGAGAAGGATAAGAACGGAGGGAAGGTGAGATGGAGGGAAGAGGAAGGACAAGGAAGAGGTTTTGGAAATAGGAGGATAAGGGGAAGAGAGGGGTAGAGAAGGAGGGGTGAAGAAGGAGGGGAAGGAACGGGGGGAGGGAAGGGAGGAGGAGGGGAGGAGGGGATAATGGGGGAGGGTAGGGGAAGCGGTGGGAGGGAGGAGAGGGAGGGAAGAAGACAATAAGGCCAGAAGTGACCACAACATCCATTTATTTAACAAAGGGAGACACATGACTAGACTCCCTCCCCCACAGTTCTCCTCCCCCTCCCACAGTACCTCCCCCTCCCCACAGTACCTCCTCCCCACAGCACCCCCCCCTCCCCACAGCCCCTCTTCCCACAGTTCCTCCCCCTCCCCACAGTACTCTCCCTCCCCCCAGTTCCTCCCTCCCCACAGTACCTCCTCCCCCCCAGCTCCCTCCCTCCCCCCTCCCCACAGTATCTCCCCTCCCCCAGTTCCTCCCTCCCCACAGTACTTCCTCCTACTGTGCCTCTCCCCAGTAAGCATGATATCCCAGCAGGTAAGCATGATATCCCAGCAGGTAAACATGATATCCCAGCAGGTAAGCATGATATCCCAGCAGGTAAACATGATATCCCAGCAGGTAAACATGATATCCCAGCAGGTAAACATGATATCCCAGCAGGTAAACATGATATCCCACACGATATTCAAGACGGTGGGGCAATACTTGGCTCCCTCGCTGCTCCAACATAAACGACTTTAATTAAAAGTTATGGCGCTACATCACTTGGTCGAGAGAGAGAGAGAGAGAGAGAGAGAGAGAGAGAGAGAGAGACGTCCCCAAACCTCATTAAGCTTACATTCATTAGCATAAGACCGTCTAAGATAATATGAAAGAAACCACTTGCTCTCAAGACAAAGACTCGTAACTAATAAACATTATTATCAGTATCATCAACATCCTTTATCAACTAAGCCCCGCCCACTTCTATCTATTCCTAGCAACCGGGATAATTCGTGGATGTTGATTGGTCGATGGTGGCTAAATGAATTCCCCTTAACAACCAATAACCAATCAACTTCCAGCATTTTTGGGTGGTTGCTAAGGATCATTATACTCTACTATAACATCTCCAATTAATTATATACCAAACTGAAACCATAAAAAAATTAATTGTATACAAGGAAAAATATGAAACATACGAAATTAATCGGGATTCCAGATTAATAATTGACCAAATCTGTACAGGTGAGTTGACGTGTTTATTTGTCTGACCTGAACCTCGAGTCATTTCCTGCCAATTATTAACTAATAATTAACTATTTTTGAGTGGAAGTTAATGATGTATATTAATGTAGTTTTAATGATGTGGTAGTAACACTTATCTAGGCACTGTAAGCCCATGGTGCAATGAGTCTGTAGAATAATGGAAGGAAGGAAGGAAGGCAGGAAGGAAGGAACTCCAACAACACAACAAAATAAACTACCGGAAAACTCTCGATAAGTCAGACAATTTCCCTCACTGACCAGACAAGTGGAGGCGAAGTTTCCGGTGGCACTGTTGACTAGTCCTGGTGAGTGGCACTGTTGACTGGTCCTGGTGAGTGGCACTGTTGACTGGTCCTGGTGAGTGGCACTGTTGACTGGTCCTGGTGAGTGAGTGGCACTGTTGACTAGTCCTGGTGAGTGGCATGACTGGTCTGGTGGTGGCACTGTTGACTGGTCCTGGTGAGTGGCACTGTTGACTGGTCTCGTGAGTGGCACTGTTGACTGGTCCTGGTGGTGAGTGGCACTGTTGACTGGTCCTGGTGAGTGAGTGGCACTGTTGACTGGTCCTGGTGAGTGTGGCACTGTTGACTGGTCCTGGTGAGTGGTGGCACTGTTGACTGGTCCTGGTGGTGGTGGCACTGTTGACTGGTCCTGGTGAGTGAGTGGCACTGTTGACTGGTCTGGTGGTGAGTGGCACTGTTGACTGGTCCTGGTGAGTGAGTGGCACTGTTGACTGGTCCTGGTGAGTGAGTGGCACTGTTGACTGGTCTGGTGAGTGAGTGGCACTGTTGACTGGTCCTGGTGGTGAGTGGCACTGTTGACTGGTCTGGTGGTGAGTGGCACTGTTGACTGGTCCTGGTGAGTGAGTGGCACTGTTGACTGGTCCTGGTGGTGGTGGCACTGTTGACTGGTCCTGGTGAGTGGCACTGTGAGTGGGTGGGCCGACCTGGCATGGTGCCCGGCCATAATACAGGTAATAAAGGTGTTTTGTGGTGTGTGTTGAGGCGCCATTAAGCATGCAATAAGCCAGCCAGGTGAACACTCTCGTTTACCTCACACACACACACACACACACACACACATACACACACACCCCCCGCCACAGGGTGATGAGCTACCAGGTGTGCCAAGCCTCCAGTCACTGCCTGTCACTGTCACCTCCGTCACCCTGTCACTGTCAGGGCCGTCACTGCCTGTCACTGTCAGGGCCGTCCTCCCGGGATTCTTTCATCTTAATGACCAAATTTCTGGTCTGCCTCATTACCATTTCTTTGTCACGACTTGATGATGAGAAGGGCTCTTTACACACACACACACACACACACACACACACACACACACACACACACACACACACACACACACACACACACACAGGGGCGTCAGGTTGGCGTTATTAAAAGCATGTTACAGGTAATGGTAAACTAATTACAGGTATTAATAAACTCATTAAGGTAACGACGCCCTAATAAGGCTAAAGACAGGTATTTGTAGCGACTTATGACCCATTATTTGTGTTGTCTCTCCTCCTGTCTTTATCTTCCTTGTCTGTCTCTCCTCCTCTTCCTGTCTTCTCTCCTTTTCTTATTCCTGTCTTATTTTTCTTCCTTCTCCTCTCGCCGTTTCATCTTCTTGTCTCGTGTGAGAGAGAGAGAGAGAGAGAGAGAGAGAGAGAGAGAGAAAACAAATATTTTTTCTTCTATATTCTGAAGACTTATCTTGACGAGTCCTTTCCTCCTCCTCCTCCTTTCTATTCCATCTTTTCATATTTTTACTTCTTTCCCTACTCCCGCTTCTATCTTCATCACCTCCTCCTTCTTCTTCTTCCTCCTCCTCCGCCTTCTTCTTCCCCTTCTATTTATTTTCTGTCTTCTAACTCTTCTTTATTATTTTTAGTCTTCTTCTTCTTCTCACGATGCTCCGCAGAGAGAGAGAGAGAGAGAGAGAGAGAGAGAGAGAGAGAGAGAGAGAGCGGAACGGGAGGAGGAGGAGAAAAAAACTAAGAAGGACGAACAGGAAGATTAATGGGCACAAAAACAAAGACAAAGGGAACTATAGAGATAACCTGATGAGAGAGAGAGAGAGAGAGAGAGACAATGAGGGAGAATAGTGACCTTTAGGGAGAATCACTGGCGCCCTTTAAGAACGCCCCCACCCCCCAAAGGTCAGGTAACAACCACTACTCCTTCAAAGGTCACCAGTTGACCTTTTATATGACTGTCTTAATTACTGCGTGTAGGTGTGGCTCATTAAAGCCTTCACCGTAGTAGTGTGTGTGAGTAAGAGAGTGAGTGATAAAGTGAGAGAATGATTGAGTGTGTGTGAGAAACAAGGAGTGAGAGAATGTTCTTCAAATGTACCTGTACCTGTACCTGCACGTGCACCGGTACCTGTACCTGTACCTGTACCTGTACCTGCACCTGTACCTGCACCTGTACCTGTACCTGCACCTGCACCTGTACCTGTACCTGTACCTGCACCTGCACCTGTACCTGCACCTGTACCTGCACCTGTACCTGTACCTGTACCTGTACCTGCACCTGTACCTGCACCTGTACCTGTACCTGCACCTGCACCTGTACCTGTACCTGTGTCCTGCACGTGCACCTGTACCTCTTGCCTGCCTGTACCTGTACCTGTACACCACACCCTGTACCTGTACCTGCCTGCCTGTGCACCTGTACCTGCACCTGTACCTGCACGTGCACGTACCTGTTACACCTGCCTGTACCTGTCCCACCTGTACCTGTACCTGTACCTGCACGTGCACCAGTACCTGCACCCTGTACCTGTACCTGTACCTGTACCTGTACCTGTACCTGTACCTGCACCTGTACCTGTACCTGCTCACCTGTACCTGTACCTGCACCTGTACCTGTACCTGTACCTGTACCTGCACCTGCACCTGTACCCTGCCTGCACCTCTACCTGCGTGCACCGTACTGTACCTGTACCACGTGTATTTCCTGCCTGCACCTGTACCTGTACCTGCACCTGTACCTGCACCTGTACCTGTACCTGCACACCTGTACCTGCCTGCACGTGTACCTGTACCTGTACCTGCACCTGCACTACCTGTACTACACCTGTACCTGTACCTGCGTGCACTGTATGTACCTGTACCTGTACCTGCACGTGTACCTGTCACACTGCACCTGTACCTGTACCTGTACCTGTACCTGTACCTGTACCTGTACCTACACGTGTACCTGTACCTGTACCTGCACCTGTACCTGTACCTGTACCTGTACCTGTACCTGTACCTGTACCTACACGTGTACCTGTACCTGTACCTGCACCTGTACCCACACCTGCCTGTACCTGCACACGTGTACCTGCACCTGTACCTGCACCTGCCTGTACCTGTACCTGCACCTGTACCTGTACCTGTACCTGCATGCACCTGTACCTCACACCTGCACCTGTACCTGCACCTACCTGTACCTGTACCTGCACCTGTACCTGCCTGTACCTGCACGTGCACCTGTACCACCTGTACCTGCACCTGTACCTGTACCTGTACCTGTACCTGTACCTACCTACCTGTACCTGTACCTGCACACCTGTACCTGCACACGTGCACCTGTACCTGTACACCTACCTGTACCTGTACCTGCCTGCACCTGTACCTGCACCTGTACCTGCACACCTGTACCTGTACCTGCACCTGCACACCTGTACCTGCCTGTACCTGCACCTGCACCTGTACCTGTACCTGTACCTGTACCTGTACCTGCACCTGCACCTGCTGCACCTCACCTGTACCTGCACCTGCACCTGCACCTGCACCTGCACCTGCACCTGCACCTGTACCTGTACCTGCACTGCCTGTACCTGTACCTGTACTGTGCTACCTGTACCTGCACCTGTACCTGTACCTGCACCTGTACCTGCACCTGTACCTGTACCTGCACCTGTACCTGTACCTACACGTGTACCTGTACCCGCACCTGCACCTGTACACCTGTACCTGTACCTGCACGTGCCTGTACCTGTACCTGTACCTATTACCTGCACCTGTACCTGTACCTACTGTGCCTGTACCTGCACCTGCACCTGTACCTGTACCTGTACCCACCTGTACCTGTACCTGCCTGTACCTGCACCTGCCTGTACCTGCACCTGCACCTGTACCTGCACCTGTACCTGCACCTGTACCTACACTGTACCTTACCTACCTGCACCTGTACCTGCACCTGTACCACCTGTACCCTGTGCACACGTACCTGTACCTGTACCCCACGTGTACCTGTACCTCACCTGCACCTGTACCCACTACACCTGTACCTGCACCTGCCTGCACGTGCACCTGTACCTGCCTGTACCTGCACCTGCTCCTCACCTGTACCTGCTACACCTGTACCTGCACCTGTACCTGCACCCAGCACCTGCACGTGCCTGTACCTGTGCCTCACGTGCTACCTGTACCTACCTGTACCCTGCCTGTACCTGTACCTGTCCTGCACCTGTACCTGTACCTGTACCTTGCCTGTACCTGTACCTCTGTACCTGTACCACCTGTACCTGTTCCTGTACCTGCACGTGTACCTGCACCTGTACCTGTACCTGTACCTGTACCTGTACCTGCACGTGTACCTGCACTGTACCTGTACCTGTACCTGTACCTACACGTGTACCTGTACCCTGTACCTACACGTGTACCTGTACCTGCACGTGTGCCTGTACCTGCACCTGCCTGTACCTGCACCTGTACCTGTACCTGCGTGCACCTGTACCTGTACCTACGTGTACCTGTGCCTGTACCTGTACCTGTACCTGCACGTGTACCTGCACCTGTACCTGCACCTGTACCTGTACCTGTACCTACATGTGTACCTCCACGTGCACCTGTACCTACACGTGTACCTGTACCTACGTGTACCTGTACCTGCACCTGCACCTGTACCCTCACCTGTACCTGTACCTGCACGTGTACCTGCACCTGCACCTGTACCTGTACACCACCTGTACCTGCACGTGCACCTTACCTGTACCTACACGTGTACCTGTACCTGCACCTGTACCTGTACCTGCACCTGTACCTGCACCTGTACCTGCACCTGCTACCTGCGTGCACCTGTACCTGTACCTACACGTGTACCTGTACCTGTACCTGTACCTGTACCTGTACCTGTACCTGCCCTATACCTGCCTGTACCTGTACCTGTACCTGTACCTGTACCTGTACCTGTACCCGCACCACCTGTACCTGTTCCTGTACCTGCACAGTGTACCTGCACCCGTACCTGTACCTGTACCTGTTCCTGTACCTGCACGTGTACCTGCACCTGTACCTGCACCTGTACCTGTACCTGTACCTGCTTGTACCTGTTCCTGCCTGCACCTGTACCTGTACCTGTACCTGTACCCTGTACCTGCACCTGTACCTGCACCTGTACCTGCACCTGTACCTGCACGTGCACCTGTACCTGTACCTACACGTGTACCTGTACCTGTACCTGTACCTGTACCTGTACCTGTACTTGTACCTGCACCTGCTTACCTGTACCTGTACTGTACTACCTACCTGTTCCTGTACCTGCATGTACCTGCACCTGTACCTGTACCTACCTGTTCTATTACCTGCACCTGTACCCACACCTGTACCTGTACCTGTACGTGTACCTGCTGCTCCTGTACTGTTGTCAGAATCATCAAAAATCAGATGAAGTTAATTGCTTGATCTCATCTTTTCACCTGGACAATCAACCTACTGACTAAACTCCGCCCACTGTTACAGTTCAATAAGCTGATTGGTTGTTGGTTGCTATGTGACGGGTAGAACAACTCTCATACCAACCAACAACCAATCGACTTTCAACGGTTGCTAAGGAAACCAAGAGGGGAGAGCTTGGTCGATAGACTTCAGCAACCAACCAACCAACTTCTAAGAATTGTTACGGTTGCCAGGGAAACCAAAAGTGGGCGGAGCTTACGCGATAAACATTGCAACGAACAACCAATCA